ATACCATAATTTTTGCTTGTTGCATTTTGCATACAGTTGTAAAATAAATTAAAAAAATAGAAGTTGTTAGTTAAATATTTTAATCTGTCAACGATTTTCCAGTGTTTTGGTGCATTTTCTTTCATTCACCATAATTAAATAATTTTTATTAAAACTCATGTATTTGTGATCTCGTTTAATTTGGTTTACATTAAAATAATTATGCTGGAATAAATAAAACGATAAAAATACAAGTTCCCGGGTTTTTGTCGTAGAGTGCATTTATTAGTGGTGCATTTCCAGGTTTTGATTTAAGGGGAAATTATTAATGAATCTGGCCAAAAACAAGAAGAACTTTTATGGGATAATTTCGCAAAAATGCGAGATTACATTATGGAAATAAGTTACTTCTCCCTTTTCTCAGAAAAAGAATATGCTAAACTTTATAAGGACTTAAATCTTGTCAAAATAGACTTAAAGATATCGACGCCATTATGAAAATCCCTGCTTACTGGGGTAACAGATAAATTTATTAGGCATTTTGGTGTCCTGAATAAAGCAGTAATCCTTACCAAAAATCAGGTTAGACACAGAAAGAATTCAATAATTTTTGATGATGAAACATTAGTCGTTTTACATAACTGTCTAAAAGATATGGAACAAGTAAAAGAAAAAACTGCACCTGAATCATCAACAAAAAAAATATCTAAAATTTGCTAATAAGAGAGTGTAAAATAAACTGTGTAAACATTAAAACATTTACATGAAAACTGAAAGAAATATGTATTAGTGGTGAATTAGCCTTTTTTATTTTTATGAGTCGTAACACAATCCAATAATTTTGACTAGCGGGAGATTCTAGTTTTAGTATTATAATTTTCAGTAAGTTTCCTTTCAACTGTTTACGGCAAAGATAGAAAGTAGAAAAGAGCTATAGCACCTGCTATAAAATCCAATTACTTCGGCCCTATGACCAGTATAAAATTCGCCTTCTGCCCAAGTTGTAAAGTGTTCTCTTTTCCAAAGGGCGAATAGTTTTCCTCGATTTTTTGCCTACAACACGGGAGAGAAAATTAAAGAGTATTTGGCCAGATGAAAAATTATTACTTAAAATTTTATTGCTTATGCTAATTTTATACTGTAAAACTTATTCGTTATTGCTTTGTTAAGGAAAAAACAAAGCATGAAAGACTGTTTTTTTCGAGGATTCTTTGTACGATGGATTTTATGAAGCAATATATATTTAAATTGATTAGGAAAGTTGGGAGATAGCATGCCTTTGAATTAGCCGCCAATCGATTCACACGGCTTGCACAACATGAAGTTAAAAAATTGTTCGGATTTATGAAGTTTAACCGTTGAACTTGCTTTGTAATTTTATAATTTTATATTATGAATTAAAATTTCAATTTTACAATGGTTACTTCATATCTGCCTTTTGGTTGAAAAGTTTTGATTAGAGAATTTGTATCGAGAGTTTTTTTTGCATTTTCGTGGGTTTTTTACATCTTGCTTTATTTATTCATGTTTTTCTTTCCAATATTAGTAAACACTGTTAGTTACACAGTAGTTCCATTTAGAATAAAATAATAATTAAATTTACTGTACAAAATAGTTGAGAATTAATAAAAAAATGGTCATTTGTAATGTGTAATTAAGTTAATAAGTTTAAAACAAATATCTCCGACTTCATTATCCTAATCACGAATCTGACCCAATAATGAAGTTTTCAAGGTCAAATAAAAATTGGCATATGTTGAAGAGCAATTGTATATGTATGTATATACGAAATATTTTTTTGGAGGAGATTCCTGGTTGGACGAATCGTGAGTCGAAAGGAGACCGAGTGAAGTACCCTGCTGTACCTTAATGTTGACCCTGTTGGCCCAAAACACAAAACCTCCGTGATGTGATGGACGAGTCTAACTCTTTGCCAAGCAATGCGCTGAACCTTTTACCCCCCCCCCCCCAATAAGTGTGTATAACGCTTTTTCATCATTGATGACCGATCACCAGTGCAATTCAGCTGCTATGTCCTAACGAATTACATAGAAGATGACCGCTTTTTTCATGACGATTTTGGGCTTTGATCCCACCGAAAACCGACTACGAACTGCGAATATTGCGGAATCATTTCATGCAGGCTACAACTGTCAATTCCTCTCAACCCATCCGACTGTTATCAAACAAATCAAATTTGAAATCCGTAAGCCTTAAAAAAGATTGAAAACCCGATGAAAAGACGGACCCGTGAATTGATTGATTTTTTGAACACAAACTTGAGTAACGTGAGAGAGTACCTCTGTAAACTTTCAGAAAGTCAGCTGAACACTGACGAAGACGAGGAGTGAATTATTATTATTATTTTAAAATTTATTAAAACTGGTCTTATTAGACCAACCATTAATTTTACAATAATATTATAGAATAAATAAATGTTTACATTCTTATAAACGCATTGGTAAATAAAATTTACTTTCACTAATTTTCATGGGCCGTTTGACCAATTAATATCTTTCAATTAATTAAGGTTTTTAGTTGAGATAAAAAAGTCTATGGAACGAGCGGGATTCGAACCCACGACCTTCGACTAAATACGCCGCTGCTCTACCACTTGAGCTATCGTGACCGGACACTAACTTCCCATCTCAACCCCACCTTTTGAATTTTCCCTCCTTTTTGCCATTTTTCATATGTCGTGTAATCTATTTGATTCTCGGCAACAAGTAAAATGGCCACGGAGAGCATTAGTGAAGAAATACTTCATGTAACTTATTAAATTCACTAGTTTTCGTGGTCCGCATGACCAATTAATATCTTTCAATTAATAGTGTCCGAGAGGATCGAAGTCACGATAGCTCAAGTGGTAGAGCAGCGGCGTATCTATCCGAAGGTCGTGGGTTCGAATCCCGCTCGTGACACTGACTTTTTTATCTCAACTAAAAACCTTAATTAACTGAAAAATAAGATTTACATTTCACTATTCACTATCCATTTTTAACTACACAAGTACATTTGGCTTTGCTATTTTTAATCTTCTGACCGTGTTTCGGTTATGTAAGAGTTTAGTTGCTTCCATATTTTCGTGCTGGCTGATGAAAGCCTGGTGTTTGGCGGCAATTCTTTGTATTTCCGCCGTGACTTCTTAAGGTCTTAAGATTCCTATGTAAGTCCTTATTCCTTACATAAGATTTTATTTTGGAGTGTTTGTATGATTTTGATATTGCTGTTCTTAGTACAACCCATAGTTGAATACCATATGTTCACATAGACTTTATGATTTGTTTATATAATAATATTTTATTTTGTATAGCAAGGTTGGAGCCACGTCCTATCAACCAGTATAGCTGTCTATACCTTAAACCTATTTCTATCCTTTTTTTCTTCACATGTTCTTTCCATCTCAGCTTGGCATCTAAGGTCCATTCCCTGATATTCAGCTGCATCGCTGTATGGTATAGTAGTTCCACCGATTGTGAGCAACGGAACATGGTCCACTTTTTTGTTTCTAAAGATCAGATGAACTGATTTATGCTGATTTAGCTTGATTTTCCATTATTTTGTCATTCGTTTATCTTATTACAAGCATTTTGGAGGATTTTGGGTGAATGGGTGATAGTCGGTTCTACTGATATCACAGGTGTATTATCTGCAAAGGTTGCAATTTTTACTCCATCTATTTTCGGAAAATCACTGGTGTATAATAAGTAAAGAAGTGGACCTAATATACTACCTTGTGGCACTCTTGCATTTATTGTTTTTTATTTTGAACATTGATCTTCTTGTTTGGCTCTAAACAGTCTGTCAGTTAGGAAATGATAATATCAACATACTGCTTTGGTAGCATCCCTTTTAGTTTATTGATGATTCCTTCGTGCCAGACCTTGTTAAAAGCTTGTGAGACAGAGAATTATTGTTATGAAGAATAATTCATTATGTCATAACGCAGGATGTATGACTGAAGAAAATGTAGTTTTAGTAATTACATGTTTATTGATTCATTAAATTTATTGAATTTTTTGTTGTCAGTAGTCGAAAAACGTGAGTTGTCATTCGATTTATTATCTGAGTTTGCTATCTGCTGTTGGGTCTAAACGGGTTCAGTAATCAATTCATTCGTTGGTCCAACCGGGCTAAATATTGGTCGAACGGAGTCGTTTTCACAGTCCATTGGTCCAACCGGCATATCCGTCTTTTTTTTTTGCTCTGAAAGTTATATAAACAATAAACGGACAGTATTTGCCGAATGAAGTGTTTTCTTTATTGAACTGGAAGTAATAAAAAAGAATAGGTTTGCCTTTTATGCCTTTTTGTTTTTATCTCGCTAGTAAGTGCAATTTATTATTCGATGAATCAAACAGTAATGGCTGATAGTTTGTAAACGAAAAGTCTATTTTCACTTTAATTGTCAATTTATTTACAATGAAGTGCTAGAGAAAGACAAAATAATGTCATGAAGATGCTCATATTGTGCAGGTGTGGTAAATAATTTATATTAGGCTGAAGATCAAACTTTACGTTTTCTCGATTTGCTTTCGATGTGTCCCAAGTCCGTTAGAAGACTAGAGGGTTGAAAATTGTTTTGAAGGCAAATAAACGTCCATTGACCGTCAATAAAAAGGAAAAGAAAGAATAAACAAAAGTAGATATAAACGAAATGACTATTAATCTTACTATACAAACAGCCGTAAAAATATTAACAAAAAAATTTTTGACCAAGGCAATGTTAGTTTTACTTCATTTTGACCTTATCGATTTAGGAGAGCTATATTTAAAACGCTTTATTGCTATAGTTCTTTCTGATTGTTTATGCATTTTTTAAATTATTATTAAACAGATTTACTTAATATTTGTGGCATTGTTCAACTTTTAGATTTTTAGTCTATATGTTTTTAACAGATTCCTATTTTTGGAAGAGCTGCTCAATCTTCCAAATAAATTAAATTTGGCTTGTGTTTTTTTTCGTTAGGATTAAATAATGTGAAGTACAAAAAAATAGTATTTCATCTGTTTTGCACTACCTGGAGAATTATTTGTCTGTCTTGATCCCCGAAGCTCCCGTAGTTTTTTGAGTCAGCACCAGTAAGCTCAAACCTTTCTCCGTAGCGCCGACATTTCTTCAATGACATCCTGAAAAATAAAATTGTTTTCCTTAGTCCAAGGATATTATCGTTTAACGATAAGCCATTTTCAACAAGTTTCAAAAAGAATAAAGGGGAAAGGATAAATGGGATTAATCCGACATCGAGAAAATCTATTTACAGGACGAACTCCCTTATATTTTTTTATTTTCGTCAAAGCCTCCTTGACACAAAGCTCCCTTTGAATTTTCCATTCTACGCCATCCTCAAGTGTGATTTGAATATCTATTTTCTTTTGAAATTTAGATAACGGCCTTGAAAAATACTAAATTTTGACCGAAAAAAAAGAAAAAAAGAGGAAGTTAACGCAATTCACTGCACATTATTGCTAATGGGGGGTTTGCTAATCATAAAGACCTGGCTTTTTCAAACTCACGATTTCCCTTCGTGTAAAAGCTCAATTTAACAAGCCTGCTGTTTTCGTTTAATTACCCACCCCCCTTGAGAGCAAAACAACCTAGTCAAACGAACACTTTTCCAAATTATTAGAATCTATTGTTGAAAACAAAAAATGATATCACAATTTTAGTCTACATCTAATCTAACCAAACTTTAAAACATTTGAAAATGCCAATTGCTGATTTTTTTTGTCGTGCGAGATAAGTATTTAAATTAGAAGGTTTAAGCTTAAATTAGAAGGATTTAAACTCGTTCATTTAATGAACCGCTTTTTTATGGTTCACAATTTAAAAGAACCGTGAAGGAATTTTTTTGCCATTTGGAATGAATGATGAATATTTATTTATTATTTACTTCGTTTGCCCACTTAGTCTGTCTTAGCTCATGGACAAATTGCTTACCGTCATTTTGACAAGTTAATAGTTGAAATCATCTTTAAAAAAATGTTGGTAGCTGTATAGAAAGAAAACGAAGATTAACGGTCACAGTTGTGGCTGGTGGCTGTTCACTAATTGTTTTATGAAGATTTGTCGGTCTCCGAGTTATACTGGGCAGTTTGTTTCTCCTTAATCATTTTGGTCCGTCAAGCATTCTGGTGTTGGAAATGTGGATAACAGCGAGAAAGAACGGACCATTATGAGCCAGGAAGAAGCAAACTTAAGAAAAAAAGTTTTGAACTGATTTCTTCGTTATTTGTTTTTAAATTATCGCTATATTAATTTTTTCATTAATTTTTCATTTATATCTGGAAATAGTTTTTTTTAAATTTTATTGGATCTAAATAATTAGCGATAAGCTTTGAGCTTCCATTATTATCCTGGTTCGTTGAGAAGTTATTAACGAACGAGTATAACTTACTGGTATTTCCACCACTAATTGGCCAAGTTTTGTCGATTGGCCTGTAAGTTGTTCATTGCTGTCCGTAAATTTTCGCTTGTTTTGATCAGATACGTTTGAAAGACGGCGATTTGAAATAATAAATTGAAAACAAGAAGTGTCACAACAATTTTCTAAGGGGGTAGGTATAATGCCGTTTTTTAATTTTGTATTAAATCCTGTTCAATACAGGACACAGACAAAGTACGAAGGCAATTTTTTATATTTATTTTTTTAACAACGGTTGCACTGGTTTTTGTAACGTTATTATTCGGTATGAATTCTTGGGAAAAGTTAAGTGTCGTTTAACTTAGGAAAGAGTAAAAGCCCTGAGAAGGGCAACACAATGAATCGGCCATAAGGATGAGTTACAGCAGTTGGAGAGGACAAACCACCAAGAAAATTAATGTACCGGTGAGATTTTATGTTATACCCGGCAACGGCAACGTAAAAACCAGCTGCAGATGTTGGAATTACGTATTGAACCGATTATTTGTGAACAAGTTCACTTTGGCTTTTTATTTTTATTCTGGTTTGTTTTAAATTCTAAAACTTTTTTTAAATACAAAACTTGCAAACATTTAAAAAAAATCAGGAAACAAATTGATTGTTTCCTTTTCGACTTTTCTTCCTCTTATCTAAAGTAACTGGTTTTTCTCTTTTTTCCTATCTCTAACAGACAAAATGCTTCATGACCCTTCCAGAGATAAATCCGTGCCCCATATAACTTTGGAAAAGGATAAAGCTTTTCTGGCGTTAACCCTCTCTTTTAGGTCAGGTGTCTTGTTAAGATTTATTAGTCAGGGGGTTAGCAACCACTTAAAATTCATACGACGCGTCCGCCCTTTATTTCACAAATGAATAAGAAATTATGTAAATTCCTGGATCATTAATATAAGTCGGTAACCTAGTAAAGTAGCAGAACTTCGGAATAAAAAAAATATATTTGTAATCAACTATTCATACTAAAAGCAAACCTACCTTAAATAAACATCTATCGTTTAAAGCGAGTATATTCATTAATTCACTGCGTAAAATTATGTAAAATTATACAAATATTTCATCTATCCGATTCGAAGTAAATGAGAAGGAATCCGCTTAATTGGCCAGACGGTTCAAACGTTGGAAATCTCTCTCTGAAATTCGGCCAATCGTCTACCATTTTGATGCAGTATTTCCCTCTCTAATTCCAACCCAACAGAGAAAGTGCTTTTTTATTTATTTTAATAACAAGATTCAACAACAGAGATCATATCAACCTAGGGGTGCCGGTGTTTTTGAAAAAAAAGCCCATTTATAAGAATGTCGTTCGAATGCACGAACCCCGAACCTTTACCATGCAGTGATGAGAGCGGGGTCAACGCTTAAATTGTTGAGGTCACCGACCGCCCCTAGGGAAAGTTTATTGTGAAATTATGCTGGGTCTTCTGGGAGGTGATGGACATTTTCTCACTGAAGTTGAACAAGAGCTCCGAATTGTTCACTCCAACTATCCTAAAACGTAGCAGCTGAAAAATAAGGCTAGCATATTTAAATATTATAATTTTTTTTAATCTCAAACACTTTGAGTGAGTAGAAATACTTTGATTGAATATATAAAAAAAATATATTTTGCATTGTATAAATTCACTTTTCCACATCCAAAATGTAATTGTTATATGTAAACAATGTAAATCCCAGGCCCTGAAGATGATCTCAATAAAGATCGAAACGTTGGCACGATAAAGAAAATGTTTTTCTGAAACCTACATCACACCAGAACGCATCTCACGATTTCTAAATAAATATTATAATTTTATTATAAAAGACAGGGATAAGGCTAGATGTTTCTGAAACAGAATGGATGGGTTATATATCTTTTAGATAGTTCTAGGGCCAACAAATTACATAATTCATCGCCAATTCGCACACTCTTTGCTTATCTTTTCCTACCCTCACGTTTTATTTCTACTAATTCATTTTTTTGACATTGCAGCCGAGATAGTGTAGCGGTACACGGGAAGTCGATCATTACCGATATCGTTATCGAAGTTCCCGCTCCACCGTCGGGAGAAAAGAATTGCCGTTGGGAAACAAAAAGAGAGAAAAGCCGATTGAATTCCGTTAAAGCGAGTTATTTCATTGGAAATCTCCTTTGAATTTAGTGGTTAATTGAGTATCATTTAGTTTTTATTTTATTTTTTACGTTCATATATTGAAATATTTTGTTCATATCAAGGCTCCTTTTATTGTTATTTATAATGTGATTATATCTTTAAAATATTAAACATTTCTTTTTTCGGTCAAGCAATTACTTTTTTTCACGTTTTATATCTAGGTTTTATGTTATTTTTATTCTCACCATTTCTATTTTATTATTCCTTTAAGTAACTGGGGAAAATTGCGCAATTTGGCTAATTTGTTCTAATTTCGAGCAGGATATTTTTGGTTGAGCTTTTCAAAAGTCATACTGTCTCCGAGAGTTCGATTCCTGAGGATATTTGGGAAACGAGTCTCTCCAGTCACGCTAATAAATTACATTCACTCACCAGTCTTCATTCATGTCACTCCAGTCTATTCGACAGTCTTCGACTCTTCCCCTTTCCATTCTAACCAATAAATATATCTCACATTCTTGTATTCGATTCGGAGGTTGAGGGGTCTTTTTATTCTCGCTAATACGTACATTCAAGTACAGTCGTTCCAATAAATAAGACATAGACTAACATAATCACACAAAAATGTTTATTCAGATAAAAATATTTATATAGGAGGTATTAGAATCAGCGATCTATGCAAGCTGCCATGCACCAAGATTGCGGATACGTTATGTGGAACATTGAATTTCTTTCGTTCCACACTTAATTCTTTACAATTCGTCATTATGTCCTCTATAATGACAATTTCCCTAGCATAACGAAGACCGACTGGGTTTTATCGAGATGGTCAAGTTTGATCCTGGTATGACCTATGCACAACGGGGTAGTATGACCTTTTTCCTTGTAAACCCAGCCTTCGCGGTGTTGGGAATAATTTCTTTTTTAACTTTGTAAATTTTGATTTTTTCCCCAAATAAATAGAGTTTTTTATTGCAGTGAAAACTGTCTGGATGTACAGTGTGAGTTGGGTGGTGGTTGACTTTTCTAACTTATTTCTTCGTACTAAGTTATACCTATGTGCCCGAGAACACATGCGAGGATGACCTTTCTCTCGCTAACATCGATTCCTCTCATTCATATAATCTGAGAGTCAGCGCAAGCTCTTGTCCTGAGTTCATGGACCGCTTTTACGGAGATGCGCATAAAGTAAATATATTTTCTTTTTTCATTCAGCGGTCCATACAGCGAGGGATAAGGCATTCAATTTTACAATATATACGCTTCCTGAACGAGTGAGTGACAATGTTTCTCTCTCCCTCCCCATGCATACTGCGGCACCCCTATTCCGCTGAATTCTTCCATTAGGGAGTGAAATGGCTTTTGTATATTTGAGGGGCGTTTCTTTCTTTTTTATAGTTTACCGCATCCCACCGAAAGGCGATTGAGAGGAATGTTTTATGGAGGTGGTTTTTACTCCCCTTGCCAGAATTTTGGCAAAATCTCTTTCGGGTCTTCAAAAGTTCGTAGTTATATGCTTATACGTAGTTATTTATACTTATACTACTTTATTACCATAGTTTTGGCCACATAGGGTTTTGTGTATGAAGTGGTTAATTATAAAATCAACTCTTAATGT